GGGAGGGAGGGAGGGAGGCTTAAAGGCAAAGAGATGAGATGTCGGCTTCCAGGATGTTGTGCAGCGAAAGAATGACACACCAGGAGCGAGGCACTGCTGCTGCTGGAGGATGTGGCGTATTGAACTAAGGAACATCAGCATCCGGTTTGTGTGGCTCTAAGAGAGTGGCTGGTGGCTCTCTTCCACCCCTCGAGGCATATCCCCGAATGCTGTGTCTGTTGGATCCGGAACTAAAGGCACGTTTTTCTGTTCCTTAGTTAGTGACGGGTTGGGTATATGTTTTTTGTTTTTTTTCGCTTTTCGAGGATGATGGCGAAGGGGAAAAAAAATGATCAAGGTGAATCGGGGCACACACAGACACCGAGAGACTCTGTGTTCCTCGGTTTTCACGGCTATTGGTCACCCCCCACACCGTTTGGGTGTCTTATCCGTCGCGGTGACTCATTCAGATGTGTGCTGTTTCATGTCACCGCATCATAACGTGCGCCACTCACTGCGTTTCATACGGCTGTGTTTGAGCAGCGGTTGTTTTCTCTGTAGCAGTACTGAGACGTTTATGGCGCCCTTGTTTTTTTTTTTGTTTTACCTCGTGGGGGGAGTACTGTTGCTGGTTTGCATTGAGCAATACGGTCCTTATGATGTTCGTTTTCTTGCTGTCCATTGTTGCTGTTGTGAAAATGGGTTTTCGTATTTGCCTACTCTTAATTTGGTTTCGTGTTAGTCGTTCTGGGGACTCAGAAGCGAAATGCCATTTCGTGGGTTCCCGTTTCTGAAAAGGAAGTCATCCCTGCTCAGGATTGAAGGCGCTAGTAACTCAGAACCACTGAACAAGCGAAAGGATAGTATAGATGAGCGAAAGGAGCGACTGCAGCCAAAGCAAGTTGGAAATCAGTCAATACCATCGCAGCAGTCTGTATTCGTGAGCTATGAGGAAATTCCCCCAAAAAGGCGCACTGCGCAACAAAGGAAAACTACCACCAGCTTCACGAACACGCTTCCGCCATTAAACAGCGGGAGCCTCAGTAACAACAGCAATGTGAATCTACGGAGTATCAGGTGGTCACATTCTGAAGACGACGTGGCGAATACGTTACTGGGTGTGTGGAAGCGCCCGTTGCATGGTGAGCAGTTCGCGAGCATCCTCCCGGGGTTAGGCCAAGCGAATAAAATGGTGCAATGCATGACCAGCAGCGGGTGGACTGAAGGGCAGTCGTCCGCTGTGGGCGCAGCGTGGGAGACCATCCCGAAGGTGACGGCCCCCGACGAGCCGTTAGTCACGCTGCTGCAGTCCGATGCGTCGCTTGGCTCACTACTCTCGTTTTCGAGCTCCGTGGAAATTTGAGTGGTGTTCGGTTGGTGGAGGATGTGACGGTGCATTTCTTTGGTGATTGTTTGCTGTGTATGTATGTATGTATATATATATATATATACATATATAGATAGATATATAGATAGATAGATATATGTACGTGTGTCTTGCACTGGCCTCTGGTGTTATTCTGTACTGACGGCGGCGGCCTGACGCGCGTGTGCCACTGGAAACCACGAGTCTGGGGGAGAGGGGCGTCATCTGTTCAGGAGGCACTGGCGTTTTGGGGGGGCATTAACGTGGGTGGGGCGCCACGATCCGCGATATGACGTGCGCCCGAACCGAGTTTCGCGTAGTGCGCATACACACGCATGTGTGCATCATATACGTACACACGTGGGCGCATTCTACTCAGCCGCGCATACTGAATTCCGGTGAGATATGTGCGTGCCTCTTTCCTCTATGACCCTATTATTCCGTTCTCGTAATAGAAATGGAGGGAGAAAACTCTCTCAACGCATTGTACGTGTTTGGGTATGGTGCTTCTGCGAAGGTGGTGGTGGTGGTGACACGAGAATGAGCATTAGAATGCAGGGAAGTGAAGATGTGGAGAACTCTGCATTTCGATAGTCATGCGCGTATATGTTACTCGCAAGTATGGGAAAGGTATGCGCATGTACGGGGGAAGGGAAAAGTTAAGGTTAAAACAATGACTTAATTTCGGCTTTGTTTTGTTTTTTGTTTTTTTTTTTGGGGGGGTAAAGAGGAGGACTGGAGTACCGTGGGGTAGATGATTATCCGTGGTTAATATGGTACCTTCTCCCCCCACCCCACCCCACACCCTAATCCCGTGTTATTATGATTCACCATAGTGTGAAATGTAATGCTTCAATAAGTGTCGTTTCTTGTGGCAATTTGTTTGTTTGCTTCCAATACTTCGTACGATTATGCATGCATGTGTCTGTGGCTGTGTGGTCGCCCGTGTATACGTGCCTCTGTACTTATCTCTGCATATGTGTGTTTGCATGTTTGTCGCTGTATTTGTGATCCTGAGGGATGCGGCTTTCTCTCCACATGTTTGGGTTCTTCAGCATTCATTCACCGTGCCAGGTGTATATATGTGAGTGTATTTACATATACTTTATTTATATAACTATATTTCTATATGTATCTTGGGGTATATTCGTATAGTCTTTGTTTGTTGGTTTATTTCCGTCGTATGTTGCGATGTGCATGTGGAACCGTGGGCTAAGTCGCTCTTTGTCGCCCTCGAGCCTCCTCAATCGCAGAGGATCATGCAACCTCATGTATGGAGGAGTAGCGCCTACTGCATGTCAGGTTTTTCTCCTTCTTTGAGGTCGCGTTTGTACTGCTTTTATTGTTTTGATTCTGTTCGATCGTCTGTTGTTTTTCGTTTAGTGTATCTTCGTATGAACTGCATTTCTTTGGTCTGGGAGGAGAGCAGAGGCAATGGGTACGCCGGGGGGGGGGTCACGCATCTTATCTCCACGCCCCTGCCTCACCGCTCATGTAATTTAGATGGCTATAACAAAAATTTCTCCTTATATTTCCATATGTCTCGCTTTCTCGCTCTGCTGTGATTGTGTGTGTGTGTGTGTGTGTCCTCTGTCATCGCCTTCCTGCTCTACCTGCTGTGGCTGTTGTTGATTCGTGCTGAAATTGCACAGAGTTTGGAAGAGGTGAGAATAGCAACGGCCACGACGAAGGAAATCGCAGCAGGAGTCAATGAAGCGCACAGATGGAGCTAAGCAGGCCAACGCGGGGACAGGCACGAAAGCCTCGTCGCCCTCGGACCGCGCACCAGCGGGAACCGGACCCAAGCGGGGTACCGATACCCGTGGTACCACCAACACATCGACCACAGCAGAAACAAGATCGAAAACAATAACAGTGAAAACAGGGAAATCTGCAGCTGCTTTGAACAGCGGTGGTGGAGCAGGAAGGGCGCCGGTTCCCCGTTTGACCTCATGTGTCTTTGGTAAGTCAATCCCATCGTTCATACGGGGGTCGACGCAGGCCGACGTGTTGGGATGCAGTGACGATCCCCTGAGCCATGATGAATCTTTGCAGCCAATGTCGCCGGTGCCAGCGGGAATGTCTTATTACTTCACTTTTGGGCAGGAAAGTGACTCATCCGGCAGCAACAAGAGTGACTCCAGTAGTGAGGGGAGCAACGAGGACGATTCCAGTGGGTCCTCGCGCTCTGACTCTGGTGACACCAGCGACGTGACCGACGATGGAGAGGTGAAGGTGCGTGGTGCGTGGGCAGGGTTCGGAGTAGAGTCGCGCGACAATGCGTTGCAGCAGCCATCTCTTCGAAGCCACCAAGTACCGCCGCTGCACCCATACGGCTGCTCATACGCCAACCGTGGCCCCAGACACCCGTCCGTGAAGGCGCCGCAGGTGCGGGTAGTTACACGTCACCGTGGCACGACGCAGGAGGAGCAGAACCCCGCGATAGGTTCCCTCAGCACTAAAGGAAATGGTGGTGGTGGTCGGAGCAGCGGCAGCAGCCAAGACCCCGGCACAGGTACTGGTGTCGTCAAGAGAAACACGGAGCACCGAAACGCCAACGGGCGGGACGCGCCCAAACGCAGCGTTACTGGCAACACGACGAACGGCAGCCAACAGTCGGGGCCCAGCAGCCAGCCTCAGACGGAACCCACTCTTCTTTGGTCGTTCCGCGACATCAATGATGCCAGCGACGACAGCAATGAATTTGGGCATGACGGCAAAAGAGCGCTCAAAGAAGGCAACGCGCGCGCAGATGCCGCGTTGGCGAAGGAAGAGGGGAAAAACAATAGCAAAGGTGATAATAGCTGGTATCTGCATGCCACAGAAAACATCGAGTGGGTGGACTCGCCCAAGTGGTCGGACATCGACGAGTCAACGCTAGAGGCAAGGGACGTGGACGCCCAGCATGCGCCGCAGACGCAGCCCTGTGGCATGGACGGTGAGGCAGGAATGGAGTGGGGAATGTGCGTGCCAGGATTTGGTAACTTGTGGAAGCGGCATCCAGCGAGTGTGGCGTCGTACACAGCGCCCGACTGCATGCTGCCGCCCATCTTCCAAGCGCTGTCGGGGGAGCGTGACGATCGCAACTACGGTGGTGCACGTCGAACGATGAAGGGCCGACTGAAGGAGTTGCCGAATCCTCAATACAACCGGGGGCCGGGTATGTTCTCCTACAACTGGTAAGGTGGGTATTAGACTTCGCAAGTGTCTTCCTCTTTATTTACATCTTTCTCTATCTATCTCTATCTC